GGTAACAACAGTGTACATTTTATTATGTAGATAAAAAAATACTCCTTACAAACATTACACCTTACAAAATACACCTTACAAAAAATTACACCTTACAAACATTTTAAAGATTTGCATACTTCTTATGAATTACATTATTTTTATGAGAAAATTCCAGTGTTCTTTTTAAATTTGTTTGTTTGCTTTTATTGAAAATAGATTCCTCTCTTATACAACACATCCCCCACCAGTTTCCCCTCCCTCCACTCCTCCCACTTGCCCTACCTTCCTTCTCCCCCAGATCCACTCTCCCTGTTTTTTCTTCAGAAAAAAAAACAGGCCTCCAAGAATCAGCAAACAAACATGACAAAACAAGATACAATAAGACAGGCAAAAGCCCTCATGTAGAGGCTGGACAAGGCGACCCAACAGGAAGAAAAGAGTCCCAAGAGCAGGCAAAAGAGTCAGAGACACACCGGCTCCCACTGCTAGCAGCGCCACAAAAACACCAAGCTATGCGCTCTTGGTGGGGCCCTTGGCAGTGGGACCAGGACTTGTCCCAGGGACATGAACTGGCTTCTTAGAGCCCATTCCCTGTGGTGGGATACCTTGCTCAGCCTTGATGCAGGGGGGAGGGGCTTGGTCCTGCCCAAACTTGGTTATGTCAGCCTATGTTGACTTCTCAAGAGAGGCCTTACCCTCTACAAGGAATGGATGGAGAGGGAAGAGGGGAGTGGGAGACGGGGAAAGATGGAGAACTGTGGTTGGTATGTAAAATGAAAAAAATTAATAAATATAAATAAATAAATGAATAAATACATAAATACATAAATAAGTAAATACATAAATAAAAACACCAGGCTTACAGTCATAACATACATGCAGAGGACCTGGTGCAGACCCATGCTTGCTGCTTCAGTCTTTGTGAGCCCATGTGAGCCCTGCTAATTGATTCAGTGGGCCATGTTCTCCTGGTGTCCTCCATCTCTTTTGACTACTGCAATCTTTCCACTACTACTTCTGTGGGATTCCCTGAGCTCTGAGGGAAGGAACCCAATGAAGACCTCCAATTTAGGCTCTCTCCTTACTAGTGTCTGGCTGTGGGTCTTTGTACCCACTCCAATCTGCTGCCAGAGGAAGTCTCTCTGATGATGTCTGGACAAGGCACTAATCGATGAGTACAGCAGAATATCATTAGGAATAATTTCATTGGTGTTTGTTTGTTTGTTTGTTTTGTTTTGTCAAGTTGTGTTTGGTTCTACCCTATGTCTCTGGGCTATCCGGTCTCTGGTTCTTGGTTACTCAAGCACTGTCAGGCATGAGTTCTCTTTCCTAGCATGGACCTCAAGTTAAACCATACATTGGTTGGCCACTCCCACAAGTTCTGAGCCACCATTGTCCTAACGCATCTTGCAGCCAGGACAGATTGTAGGTCAAAGGTCTTGTGGTTGGGTCGATGTCTATGTTTCTCTTTTGATAGCCTACAGAGTACCTTCCTGCACCAAAGAGACTAAATGTAGGGGTAAAGGCTTCATGCAGGCACCACCTTCACCTCTCTATATTCAGTGAGTTATGTGGATGTTGTCCTCAGCACTGGGGCCCTGTTGTCAGCTTAGAGGAAGATCTTCTGTCCTAGCATCAGCCTGGGTTATTTGGGTGGTCTCCATGGGATCCCCTCAGCCAAGAACTCAACCAAATACAACCCAGTCACACCACTGGAAGCCTTGCATGGCTACAAAAGATGGCCAGTTCAGAATCCTTATCCTCCATTACTGAGAGTTCTCACTAGGGTAACCGTCATAGATTCCAGGAAATTTCCACTGCACTAGGTTCCCACGCTACTCTCAAGATGCCCCCCAATTCCTGCTGTCTCCCTGAACTCTCTTCCACCATCCCATCCCTCACCTGATTCCCCCCAACTCCTGTCCCCACCCACCCCCAGTCTACCCATAAAATCTATTCTATTTCCCCTTCCCAGGGAGATCCATGCATTCTCCCTATAGCCATTCTTTTTACCTAACCTCTCTGGTTCTATGGATTGTAACTTGATTATCATTTGTCTAATGGCTAATACCAAGTTATAAGTTAGTATGTACCATATTGGTCTTCTGGATTTAGGTTACGTCACTCAGAATGATTTTTTTTCTAGTTCCATCCATTTTCTTGAAAATTTCATGATGTCAATTTTTTTAAAAATAGCTCCATTGGGCATGTAAATGTACCGCATTTTCTTTATCCATTCTTCTGTTGGGGGACATCTAGGTTGTTTCCAGTTTCTGGCTATTATGAATAAAGCTGCAATGAACATTATTGAGCAAGTGTCCTTGTGGTAACATGGTGCATCCTTTGGATATATGCCTAAGAGTGGTATAGGTGGGTCTTGAGGTAGATTGATTCCTAATTTTCTGAAGAATTGCCATTTGCTTTCCATAGTGGCTGTACAAGTTTGCACTCCCACCAACAATGGAGGAGTGTTCCCCTTGCTCCACCTTCTCACCAGCATGAGTGTCACTTATGTTTGATCTTAGCCGTTCTGACAGGTGTAAGATGGAATCTCAAAGCAGTTTTGATTTGCATTTCCCTGGTGGCTAAGGATGTTGAATATTTCTTTAAGTGTTTATATCTGCCATTTGAGATTCCTCTGTTGAAAATTCTCTTTTTAGCTCTGTACCCCATTTTTTAATTGGATTATTTGTTTTTGTTTTTGTTTTGATGTCTAGTTTCTTGAGTTCTTTATTTTGGAGATCAGCCCTCTATCAGAGGTAGAGTTGGTAAAAAAAAAAAAAAAAACCTTTTCCCATTCTGTAGGCTGCTGTTTTGTCCTATTGATGGTCTCTTTTGCCTTACAGAAGCTTCTCAGTTTCATGAGGTCCCATTTATTAATTGTTGATCTTAGTGCCTGCACTATTGGTGTTCTATTCAGGAAGTTGTCTCCTGTGCCAATGCATTCAAGGCTATCCCCTACTTTCTCTTCTATCAGGTTCAGTGTATCTAGTTTTATGTTGAGGTCTTTGATCAACTTGAAATTAAGTTTTGTGTGGGGTGATAAATATGGATCTATTTGCATTCTTCTACATGTAGACATCCAGCTTACCCAGCACCATTTGTTGAAGATGCTGTCTTTTTTCCAGTGTGTATTTATGGCTTCTTTATAAAAAAAAATCTAGTGTCCATAGGTGTGTGAATTTATGTCTGAGTCTTCAATTGAATTCCATTGATCAAAGTTTCTGTTTTTATGCTAACACCATGAGGTTTTTATTACTATAGCTCTGTAGTACAACTTGAAATCAGGGATGGTGAGACCTCCAGCATTTCTTTTATTTTTCAGGATTGTTTTGCTGTCTGGGTTTTTTGGTTTTTTTTCCTCTTGAAGGTGAGAATTGTCCTTTCAAGGTCTGTAAGGAATTGTTGGGCATTGAATCTGTAGGTTGCTTTTGGTAGGGTGGTCATTTTTACAGTGTTAATCCTACTGATCCATGAGCATGGGAGATCTTTCCATCTTGTGATATCTTCTTCAGTTTCCTTCTTCAAAGACTTGAAGTTCTTGTCATACAGGTCTTTCATTTGTTTGGTTAGAGTTACCCCAAGATATTTTATAATATTTGAGGCTATTGTGAAGGATGTTGTTTCCAAGATTTCTTTCTCAGTCTGTTTGTCATTTGTATATAGGAAGGCTACTGACATTTGTGAGTTAATCTTGTATCCAGCTCCTTTGCTGAAAGTGTTTATCAGCTGAGGGAATTCCTTGGTGGAATTTGGGGGGTCACTTATGTATATTATCATATCACCTGCAAATAAAGATTCTTTGACTTCTTTCTTTCCTATTGTAACCCCTTGATCTCAAGTGGCCTGTGGTTGAGAAGGGGGTGTCCACCCAAGTTGGGGGCTGAGACACAACAACGGGGGTCTGTGGGATCCACAGGAGGTGTGGACACAGGGGAGGGGAGGCTGCAGCTGGTGTCCTGTTGTGGTGCTAGGGATGACCCTATGGATTGGGTCTGGAGGAACAGAGCTTGTCATGGTGTTTTATCACAACAATAGACACATTCATTATGCAAGTATAACAGGAGAGTGTGATGAACCATGCATGCATGAAACAGCATAGTAGAGGATATTGTCACAGAGGAAAGTGGAGCTGACCCAGGAGAATGAATTCACTCAAAGTCTATGGAATGCACCCAGAGTGCAGGAATGGGAATGGGGGGTTACACACACACACACACACACACACACACACACACACACACACACACACACGAGAGAGAGAGAGAGAGAGACAGAGAGAGAGACAGAGACAGAGACAGAGAGGGAGGGAGGGAGAGAGGAATGGGGATGGGGGATTGCACACACACACACACACACAGAGAGAGAATTGAACAAAGGCCCACAGGTGTGCAAAGACTAACAAACAGATGAGTAGAAAGCAGCTGGTTCTAACTGGCCCATTGGAAGACCACCGCTTAGAAGAGGGGATATAGCAGCTAAGAAATACAGAGACAGTGAAAGAAAATCTTTTTTGTTTTGTATTGAGACAGAGTCTCGAGGACTCAGTAAAGAGCCAAGCCTTAAACTCCTGATCTTCCTGCTCCAACCTCCTAAATGCTGGGATTAGAGGTGTGCACCACCATGCCTAGCTTAAATGAGATCTTGACTGCCATGCTAAGTGCTTATATCCAGTCCTGCAGATAAATGGGAGCTACCAGTGGTCTTTAAGCAGATGAAAGATTCCTCTGTGGCCATAAGGCTACATGACTTATCTGTTCTAAAATCTGTTCTCATCATCCAGAGATGAGAAGTCATATGCAGGTCATATCTACATCTACAACATATTTTTTCTAAATTCAATACAGGATCCCTGGATGGGTACATAGGTTGGTCAATGAGTGGGTAAAGGCATGGATGGATGGGTAACATTGGAGAAATTAAGCAATGACAATAAGCAAGCCTGGAAACACTGGGTGGAACTGACGGAAGAGGAAGTAAAAAGAATTAAAGGAACTCTAAATGTTGATTCACTGCAGATGCGAACAAAGCAGGTCCCAGTCCTGTGGGCATTCGTCCTCCTGTGGAACCTCTACATCTCCTCCTCCCAGACCGTTTACCCTGGAATCAAGGCAAGGATCACCCAGCGTGCACTAGACTATGGTGAGTTGGATACATTCAGAAGTCAGGCTATAAATGCCCTAGATGTGGCCTGTGTTCCAAAGCAGCAGTTTGTGAACTGGGTCTGAGCTAAAATCTCAGTGGGATTACCTAACTCCTTATGAAGATGTACCCGACACCTGGGAAGAAAGTGTTATCCACAAAATAGACATCCTGGTGGAAGGCATATTTAAACATACAGATATTCTCTCTCTCTTCTCCCCCACCCCCACCACCTATATCAGGGCTCTAAATTAAAATGCACTAGAAAGAGTATAGTGGCCTATGCCTTTAGTCCCAGCACTCCAGACATAGAGGAAGGAGAATCTCTGTGACTTTGAGGACAGCCTGGTCCACATAGCACCTTCTAGGCCAACCTCAGATACATAGGGAGACCCTGTCTCAAAGGGAGGAAACCTAGGATCCTCTAAATCAAACAAAACTTATTGTGGATCAGTGCACTTTATTCTTAAGAGGCTCCACCACATTTATCAGATGTTCAAAGGGATCTTAGACCAGTATTCACTACTTCTAGAGGGCTTTTGCAAGGCTAGAAACAAAAATGTTAGAATATGATTTTTATCGCGCTCACCTGAGGTCAGGTGCAGAGGATCTTGGCTGCAAAATCAAAATATATGCTGGGCTGTGTTGGCGCACGCCTTTAATCCCAGCACTAAGAGGCAGAGGCAGGTGGATCTCTTGAGTTCGAGGCCAGACTGGTCTACAGAGTGAGTTCTGGGACAGTCAGGGCTACACAGTGAAACCCTATCATGAAAAACAAAACAAAAAGAAATCAAAATATATGGGCCTGTTTTTCTCCTGTCATATTTTGCCTCAGATTAGCTGAATATAGATCGCCAGATCTCTGCCAATTCTTGTTAACAAGAGCAGCCAATCCAAGCACTATTAGTCTAACCAAGAAATCCCTAAATCTAACCAAGATTGACTCTCATGTTATATCAGAAAAGAAATAAATGAAATAAAGGGAGGGGAGGAAAGGAAGGGAGAGACGAGCTGATTTGGGCAACTTCTTCTCTTTTCCCCTGTAGCTCAGGGGGCACAAAGAGTCTAAAATTAACCCGTTATGTAGAACTGCTATGTGGATAATATTATACATATAAACAGGCACTAGGGATATGGGTGCACATTCATGCGAATATCTAGTTCCTATATTGATATGTCTGTGTGTTTGGAAAGTTGTCTGTGTGTTTGGAAAGTGTATGTCAGAAATAGGTATCTTGTAAAAGTATTAAAGTGGTTTTTCCACCTTGTAAGTCATAGCACTTAATAGATCTGAGGTCACCTGCATGGCGTGGGTATCAGTTCTACCCTTTTGCTCAATGCATGGCCTTGGGCAGGAAGGTTGTCTCATCTGGAGAAGTAGTGATGAGTAGTTGGTCTCTACGTCTTAACTGGTAGGAGGACCAAATGAGCTCACCTGTGGAAATGCAGGAAGGAGCTGTGGAGATAAGACGGCACTGGAGTCAGAATCGTCCCAGCATCTACCATGCCAGGCTATGAATGTGCTTCATGGGCCTTATGTAGAAAGTATTCCAATATGAGCCATTTCACAGAAAGGGACCCTGCCATGTCAGGGGTCTCGTAACAGCAGAGGGCTAAGGCAAGGCACACATTCAGCTCTAGTTTTAGTTAGCTTCCCATCACCACAACAAAACACCTGAATAAAACAACTTGAGGAAATAGAAAGGTATGTTTGGCCCACAATTCTGTAAACTACAGCCCTTAGTCCTGCTGCTTGATGGTTAATTCCGGGCCCGGATGAGGCAGAGCATCATGCAGGGATGTGCAGGGTAAAGCAAAGTTGCTCATCTCACGGCTGTTGAGGAGCAGAAAGAGAGCACATGGCTACAGACAGCACATTTCCTTCAAGGGCATTTCCTGATGACTTACGCACATGGCTACAGACAGCACATTCCCTTCAAGGGCATTTCCTGATGACTTACTCCCTCCACCTAGACCCTACCTCCTTAAATTCCCACCACTTCCCAATAACACATTAAGCTATGACTTCATCAATGGACTAACCCTTGGATGGAGTTAGAGGCCTCATCATCCAGTCACCTCTCATTGCCCCACCCTCTAAACACTACTGCACTGGGGCCACACCTTCGCCATGGGAGTGTTGAAGAAATACTTTTCTCTTTTTTCTTTTTTAATACATTTTTGTATTTTATTTTTTTAGTACTGGAATTGGAACCCAGGGCCTCATACATGCAACACAAGCATTCTACCAACTGATCTGTATCTCTAGCCCCTGGTATATACTTTTTAAAAATGTCTTATTAGCATATGTTAACTATATGCAATTAATATGAAATCTCTTGTTTAATGTGACATTTTCATATACATATGCAATGTATTTTGATTGTATTCACCCCCTTGTTACCCTCCCTTCCTACCCTCCTACTACCACTAATCCCTGCCTCTTCCTCCCTAGCCCCCGTGTGTGTGTGTGTGTGTGTGTGTGTGTGTGTGTGTGTGTGTGTGTGTACCAATTAGGGTTGGTCACAGAAGCATAGGCATCTTGTCAGCGACTACACCACAGATGGAAGTGTCTCCCTCCCCCATCAGTCATTAACTCTATCAATCCTCAGGGAAGGATGGTGCCCTCTGAGCCCTCCCACTTCCATTACAGGGTGTCAACAGGTGCATATCTAATGTAGGCAATCACAGCTGCTGTGAGTTACTTCATGCCTGGAAGTCAGAGCTCCACACCACATCTGGGGCCCTCCTCTTCCATTCTTCCCCTCCACACCACATCTGGGGCCCTCCT